TATATTACTGGTATATTTTGCACTTAATAAAATATGTCAGTATGAAGTGAGTGGACTTGCTACAGCTGAAAGTAAGTTTTAGTACAGACTCTCTGGTAACAAGAAAAAGCATGTTAAAAAAACCTCCAGTTCTACAGCAGCTTCTTATGGTACCATCAAATTCCCTTTCACAAGACATTTAGAATTGTTTAACTTTGAACTCTTGTGTTCATACTAGTTATGAGTATTAAAAAAAGGAATTTCCTGGAAAATATGGATTGAAAATGTTAGGAAAAAATCAAACTCCCTTCATTCAGTACCACAAAATTAATATGGAATTATAAGTGAATTCCTGCATATAATCCTGATGAAATATTTTCCCAAAATGGAAACCACACATCAAATTCAGTGAAATGTTCATATTAAGGAGAAAACAACTGTCAGCACAGAAGTGGGGAAGGCTATGCACAAATAGTATTGCATTGCAGTGTAATGTAAACTGTATTTATTATCCTAAATAATTGTAGATGGAAGGGCTTATTTTAATTAACTACATACACTGTTTCTATATAACTCTGTAGGCTGCAGTTTATTTAATGCTCATGGTTTAAAACACGAGAGAGAGATCATTACAAAAGGTGTAGGTCCCTGGATTGCAAGTTCTCTAGGATAGTATCAGGTGGTGTTTACTTGGGACCTAGAAAAATTATGCTGAGCAGAACTGCTGTGTGAAAGCTCACTACTTCCATGCATTCTCTTTCCAATCTCCCTTTTACCAATCTCATTCTGTGTACTGGGATATATTAAAGGATTATTGAAATGAAGCAAACTAACTTGTTTAATCTAGTGTCTCTTTTATTTAGTTCTATTGTCCATATGCTCCTTACTTTGTGATCCTAATCCAGATGATCCTTTAGTACCAGACATTGCACAGATCTACAAGTCAGACAAGGAAAAGTGAGTATAACATATACACAATTGTGTGTGGTACTTGCAGATGGTTATCTGCTATGCACCTTCTGTTTTAGCTTTTAAAGATACTTTCTGATAGATTTCTGTAGGATGAGATTTTTTAAATCTTGAAAATACTGCTCAGTGGAATGGCAAGCAGAGAACTGTGGGCATACACAACTGTAGGGTAATTACTAATTTTTTGCACCTAGTTGCATAAAACCTTCACATTTATATTCATTTCATGAAAAATAACTTCCCAAATATGAGTTATCTGTTGCTAGTGTGACCCTCTGGTTGTAAAACCTGTGTCTTTAGTAAGATGTTAGATATGAACAACAAACATGTTTTTGACGCTGTTTTACAAATCTAGTATAGGGCAGTACTTGGTTCTTCTTAGTGCTAAGAACTATTATGTGCACTTTGTAGCATCTTACACTGAAAAAGAACCTTAGATCTTGAAGGAAGTTTCTAATCTTGGGAAGGTAACATGGACAGCACATAAATGAAGTATTACATACTTCTGAACCAAACCTGATTTTGATTTGAGAAGTTTCAGCTCTAAAAGTACTATACTGCCTGAAACATCTCTTCTGGGGTCTTTGGCTTACAGTGTGGAACCACCTGGATTTCCCAAAGTTCAATTTTTAAGGCTTGCTGACTTATTGTCACCTCTAAGGAGGGTTTTGAAATGCTCATCTTACAGCTACACACAGGGCTGAACCTTCACAATATTGGGTAACAGTCTTTAGAGATCACTACACCAGTGCTTTAGCATAGTGGTGTTTCTTTCCAAAGCACTACCTCTCTGGAGTGATTCTTTTGAGCACTCAAGCTTTGAATACTGATCTGTGGATAACTAAGCTAAGCGATGCATTGATTTCTTCAGTTTGTTGCAGTTGTGAATGGCAGGAAGCTTGAGCCTTTCGTTCCACAGTTTAGACTGCATGATTTCCAAAGGATTCCATGGATGAAATACTACCTGTGAGATTTTTCCATTTTTGCTGCTTTCTTCTTGATGTAGCAGCTACCTGCTTATCCTGGGCTTACCAACTTTTCCAGAAAATTTTCCTTTCAGGTTCTGAAATGCAGATGGCAGTGCAGAATGGAGAATAAAGTATGATTAAAACAAACAAAACCCCACTGTGCCTTCTCTCCCTACCGTTTCCAAAACCAGTTCATTTATACTGAATTTTATGCAGCTAAAAAGTGTGAATTTTGTTAGACTGTTAATAGTTACACATTTAGGAATAATTGACAAATTCCTGTTAAGGTACAAATCAGGTACACATACATTTTAATACAAACTTGTGAGACTGGTTTTCAGTTTGAGTCCAGATAGCGTTGATAGGTAACCTTAAACTGTGTGTACGATGAGTATATGTTGCTTGGCTTTTAGACTATTTCATTATTGACTCAGTGCCAAGAGATGAAAAGTTTTAATGTGTTAGTGACAGCATGTGGCTGTTGCCGATGTATCACTAACAGCTTTTCACTGTAATGCCTTCTTTCTGCACATACAGATACAACAGGCATGCAAGAGAATGGACTCAGAAATATGCAATGTAAACTTCTGAAGACTTTTTCATATACCAGAGTACTGTAAATTCTAGGATTTTTTCAAAATTAGAAGGAAATGGAGCACAGTTTACTGTTTCAACGTATCAAGATGCGCCTTGAATTTTTTTCAACCATGTGAGTGTGTTTCTGGAGCAAGGGAGAACCAACTTCCAAAAACAACCTTTTGACTGTGATCAGAATATTTATCCTCTTTGTATGCTTTGCAGAAGACATTTAATATGGTTTTTAAGAGTTGGGCATCTGCATCTTCAGACTAAAGTTCCATAGTGCAGTTGTAAAGCAACCAAATTATTTTTGCTGGAAAAAAGTAGCTGGTTTTATGTGATGAATACTGTATGTGTGTCCTTGAAGTAAGCTGTCCGTTTCGTGTGTTCAAATTTCATTTTGTTAATTCACTTACGTAATTTGTTATTTTTTTATTGTATAGACTAAATATTTTATTTACCATCTAAGTTGTTTCATTTTAGACTTACTAGCTTGTGCACAGTATTGACAAGATACAACTGCTAGTAATGAAAATAATTGGAGTATCCCACCCCTTAGGATATTCTACAGACTGACTGCAGATTTCTTAAAACCTAAAATTATCTTTGCACTGTAATTCTTTATATGCTGATTATGGAGAAACACTTGGTTTTGGTTCTGTTGCATACTTGATTTTATTGCAATGTGAACTAATTGCACTGCTATGTAGAAAGATATGTAACCATTTTGTTGCTATTCACAACCAATTTTTGACATGGGCAACATAACACTACCACAGACCTTTTACAAATCTAAATATCGCCTTTTCCATATAAATAAAATGCCTTTTCTACTATTTGTCTTGGCTATTTTTTTTATCATACGTATTTTTAAATTTCTCATTCTAACACTAGAGAATCAAAATATGTGTGCATGTGTCCTGTAGACAACAGCGAGGGGAAAGCCGTGCATCTCAAAACTTAAAACTGTGTTGCAATTTATTTTTATGCTAGCTTCTGCCTAATTTATTTAGCATGCTGTGCCCGTTGTTTTATATAGGATTTAAACTAGTTTAATGGTGTGTTACAGATGGCAGAAATTGTGTGTTGTGATATCAAACACTTGTTGAGGTGGTGTGTTTGCAGCAGCAGAATGTTACAGTAAACTTGCACTTGAAGCCAACTTTCCATTAACTATCACTTCAGTTGCTTCAGACTGTCCACGCAGAAAACCAGTGCTCCTGAAGAGAAGCAATATGTACTTATAAAGTGCATTAAAAGTGGAAGAAGTTTGATTTCCTACCCTACATTCTTGGGTATCTGAAAACAAAAATGTGATCGTTTTTTCTCTGTACCTTGCACATGAAATAAGTGATTTTCAATTGGCAAATTTGTCATCATAATATAAATTGTTAAGACAATGCAGTATTTGGCCTTTTTATTTTAATGAATGCCAAAACTGGCATTGGGAGTGGTTGGGAGAGGGGAAGTGTGCACAGTAGGAGCTTGTATTCCTGCTGGAGGATCGTTGTTATCTTCATGCTTGCTGTCCTACAGACCTGACCTAAGTTGTGTAAGTTGGTCACACATGGGCAAATGTTACTCCTGTGTTACGGTTTTATTTATGATGTAACGATGACTTCTGAAACAAAATCTTGATGGGGAATGGCTCAGTTATTCTTGGAGGCTTAAGCAAACATGGCTATTTTAAGTTAAATAAAGGTGGAAGATTCTGTTGCTAATGTGTGCTTCACTATATTTGAAGTAATACACTGGTGCTAGGGCAGACAAAGCAGCTGTTTATACTTTCCTCTGAAACAGTGGTAGAAAGTTGATCATCACAATGTGTTCCCATAGCTTTTTTTTTTTTCCTAGATCAGTAGTAATACAGTTGTATTAGAAGTTATTTAAAAGTCTGCATTATCTATATTGAATAGTGTGAAACTGGAAGTTTGAATTGCATCTCAGAATACTTGCTACCTTACGACTTGCTGTATTTCAACTGGCCATTTTTCGGCTCGTGTCATACGTGCAGGACTGCCTTTCCATCACAGTATGAGAGCAGCAGGCTCATCAGAAAACGAAGACCGGCTCCAGTCTGTCAGGCGTTCTCCCTGCAGCCTGTTTAAATACCAAATCAATGTTGGTCTTATAAACACTCTGGTTAAAAAGCATGAACCCAGTCTTTAATTCTTACAGTCTTCTTATCCACTCAGGGAAATTATGGGGGTGGGGGGAAGCACCGTATTCCGTGCATCCCTTTTTTTGCGGCACCTCGCACCTGCACGGTGCAGGCACGCCGGTACCCCCCCACCTCCCTCAAGCTCAACCGTGTCACTGTCGCTTTCTGCCCCTATACGCTCCAAACGGGCGAACCTGCGTACTGCACTCTGCCGGCGTGGAGGGGGCAGGACGGGGCCGGGGACGGGCTCGGGCTCGGGCTCGGGCTCGGGCTCGGGCTCTGCCGCGGGGTCACCTTGGTGCGCCCCCTCCACCTCTTTCCCCGCCCCTCGCTTGCGCCGCGCGGCGGCCGCTGTCCCAGGGTGCTGTGCGGCTGCCGCGCGACCTCTGCGCGCGCAGGCGGGCTGGCGGAGGCATGGCGACGGTGCGGTCGTTGCTAGGCCGGGCCGCGACTGTCGTCACCGGCGCGCACCGGGTCCTCAGGTGCGGGCGAGGCGGGAGCTCGGCTCCGGGAACGGGGGTGCCCCTCGGCGGGTGAGGGGCTCCTCCGCGCGTGCGCCTGGCCCCCCGCGAGGGCAGTGTGCTTTACCGGGCGCTGTGGGGGTAACGGGTGTTGTCGTTGTGTGCAGGGCCTGCGGTGTCGGCTCGGCTGAGAAATGCTTCTCCAGGGGGATCAGCACGGATGAGGCCCCGAAGCGGCCTCTGACCGGCTATTTACGCTTCTTAGTAGAAAACCGTCCAGTTTTCAAGCAGAAAAACCCAGGTATGAGGTCTGAAGGCGCGAGAGGATTCGCGGTTCGCTTCGTTTTGCATTTAGAAATGCAAAGTCTCAGAATGTCAGGCGTGCCAGAGGTTTTGCTGTAAAGCTGCTCTCGGTTCAAATGTATACAGTGTTTTCTCGCCAGAATGTGATTAACGAAGAAAACTGAAACGAAGTGTTTATTTGTAAAAATAAATGTGGTGAACAGTGAGAGCAATTAGTAATCTGCCCGGTGTTGGACACTTTTAAGTTACAACTGGGCAGTGTGCCGGGTCATCTAGTCTGGTTCGTGCTTTGCCAAGAAAGGTCGGACCAGATGAATGTAAGATCATAGACTGGTTTGGGTTGAAAGGGACCATAAAGACCATCTATTTGCAAACCCTCTGCCATGGGCAGGGACACCCTCCACTAGACCGAACTGCTCAAACCCCCCTCCAGCCTGGCCTTGCATGCCCCAGATAACCAACCCTTTCTCTCTCTTGCAGCTGAAGTAACTAACATTTTGCTCATGACAGCCAAGAGGGCTAACAAAGTACAAGATGTGTGCAAAAGCAATTTTTAAAATAATGCAAAAGTTTTCCTGAGCATACATGAAATTACATGGTATCCTCTGCATTAACTCATTCTGTAGACAATGCACTAGTGGAAAATTGAAGAAGATAGACAGCTTCTGTGCCAATATCCAAGGTGTCGCTCTTCTTGGGAATTTGTTTTCCTGTGATTAATTGCTATGCCCTTTCATAGTGCTATAGACTATTGCAATTGTCAGGAAACTATCTGGGGCTGAGTTCATGCTGTAGGTAACATTTGTCTCAGGATGTTCTAGATCATCTCTGAAACAATAAGAATTGACTTCTAATTCTGCTGAGGTCATTTGGGACCTAAATATCTCAGTTCCCTTGAGGCCCTTCCAACCGGGTATTCTGTGATTCTATGAAGTAACCAAAGCATATTACCCAGGTTTCGGAGACGAAGCCCATCTTCTTTATCTGTAGCATACCTGAAGTAAATACATTATTGCCGTACTTACTGCCTGTACGTGTATTAGCTTGATCTTCTGTACCTCAAAATAGTGAACATTTTTGTGTAACTTTAAAAATGTTTGAAGAAGGAGCTTACATAGGCCATGCGTGTTAAGAGTGATTTGTGGTTTTCAGTTACTTTAAAATCTGTCTTTATTGGAAGTACACCATTGCTGCTATAACAAGCTGTGTATGATGTTATTCTAATGCTTTGTAATTTAAAAACTAATGGATTGCCTTAAAGTATGTATGAGAAAAAGTAAACTTATCTAGAGGAAAATGGTTCTGCTTAATATGTTTAATTTATTATCAAAAATTTCATTTATAGTCAATGCAGTCACTATTGCTAGAGGGAAGCAAAATGGAATGCAGTGCTGATTTGGAAAACACTGTTGAATGTAAAAATGCTTAAAGAAACTATGATCATACTGGGCAAGTCATGAGGTTAACTTAAGTACAGAAAACAATTTGATCCCATGTTTTGCTCCGTAGTTCAACAGCCTGAAAGGCTGAGAACTGAACTTGCAGATTATGCTGTAGTTATGTGCCACACCAGTTTCCCACATGTTTCCCAGGTTTCAATAATTGCAAATAAATGTACTGTATCTCACACACAAATTGACATCTTGGGGCTTTCTTGTTCCAGTGGAGGTAGTGTTCAAAAATAACCTGATGATTTATCTGTTTTCTTTTAGCATTGGAAAAGTATCATATTTGCAGAGGTTTTAAGATTGGTATATATGTACTAAAAACTTCCCATCTGTCTTGGTTTTCCAGAATTTTGGAAGTCAAATAACTGATAAAAGCATAGTTCTGCTTTCCCACTCTTGAGGGGGCTGAACTTTACATTTGAGGTGGGAGAGAGGAAGATCTATTTTTTTCTTTTAGTGTGAAGTAGAGGAAAAGCCTCATAAAGGTTTTTCCAGAAAATAAAAGCTTTGGGCCTCTTTCCACCACCACCTTTTTCTTGTTATGTTTTTTCCTCCTTCACAAGTTCAGGCCTGGCTGGAAACCTCACCAAAGGGGCAGAGTCAAACGCAGTCACCCGAAAACCAGAGCAGATTTAAGTCACTGTAATTTTGTTTGTGAGAGAAAGAAGTTACTTTAACTTCTGTTTAATAATATTGTAACTAAAGTACTATAATAAAGCCTATGTACTGTATCAGGTGGATAAGGTCACATTATATTCCTTTTGAGGAATCCAGCCAAAAAGAAAATGAGAACTGGAAATTTTACTTCTGGTTTCTTCGCTGTCACCACTCCAATTTCAGACCATCTTGCATTGTATAGAAAAGGATCCAAATCAAACTAAAAAAAATAATAAAACAGTGAAACTTGTGCAGTTGTAATAGGTGTGTCTCTGTCTTGAAATGGTGCTTCAGTTTAAAATGCACATTTCTTTCGAGTGCGAACCAAGAGCAGGGACTTCCCCTTCTCCCCCAAATATTTCAGCTCCCTGTAGCTGCCACAACAAGTTAGTTCTGTGAAAGCAGAAATATATATTTGTAAAGAAAGAAGATACTAGTGATGTATTTCCTTGGGAAAAAATGAAGATAGAATATTGAACTTTATTTTCTTGCTTTCTAATCTTAATGTACAGAAATAAACAGCAAGGAGCTGCTAATAAAAATGGCAGGTGCTTGGAGGGAGTTACCAGCATCACAGAAGCAGGTGAGTTTGTAACTTTGTGTGGTGCACTAAGACTGTTGAGTACATAATAGTTGTTATACTTGGTTTGGTGTCTTGTTTGTTGTTTTTTTTTCTTTGTTGCTTTGTGTGCGTGTGCACGTGATAGTTCTTTAGTTGGGGCTTTGTTTGTGTTTTTTTAAACAACAATTTAAAAGTACTTGTATACATAGGTTCAGGCATAAAAAACAATTCTGAAGAGAATTTGAAGCTTTTTTGAAGTACTCAGGCAAAGTGTGGTGGGTTGACCCTGAGTGCGCACCAGGTGCCCACCAAAGCCACTCTTGTCACTCCCCCTTCTCAACTGGACAGGGGAGAGAAAATATAACCAAGTGCTCAAGGACAGGAAGAGAGATCAGTCACCAGTTACCGTCAGAGGCAAAACCAGACTCAACTGGTGGAAATTTGTTTAATTTGTTACAAATCGAATCAGTAGGATAATGAGAAATAAAACTAAATCTTAAAAAACACCTCACCCCACCCCCCTTTCTTCCCAGGCTTAACCTTTTTATTCTCAATTTCTCTCTCTCATAGCAGTTCAGAGGGATGGGGAATGGGAGTTGTGGTCAGTTCATCACGTACTGTCTCTGCTGCTCCTTCCTCCTCAGAAGGGGGACTCCTCACACTCTTCCCCTTCTCCAGCCTGGGGTCCCTCCCACAGGACAGTCCTCCACAAATTTCTCCAACATAAGTGCTTCCCATGGGCTGCAGTTACTCACAAACTGCTCCTGTGTGGGTCCCTTCCGTGGGGTCACAAGTCCTGCCAGCAAACCTGCTCCACCGTGGGCTTCTCTGTGGGGTTGCAGGTCCTGCAAAGACCCTGCTCCACCTTGGGCTTCCCACAGAGTCACAGCCTCCTTTGAGTATCTGTCTGCGTGGTGTCCTCCATGGGCTGCAGCTGGCTATCTGCTGTACCACAGACCTCCATGTGCTGCGGGGGGCAGCCTGCCTTGCAATGGTCAGCACCACGGGCTTCAGAGGAACCTCTGCTCTGGCACCTGGAGCACTTCTTGCCCTGCTCCTGCACTGACCCTGGTGCCTGCAGAGCTGTTTCTGTCACATATTCTCACTCCTGTCTCTGGCTGAAGTTTTTGTTCCCCCACCCCTCTTCCTACACACATTATCCCAGAGGCACTACCACCATCACTGTTGGGCTCCGCCTTGTCCAGCAGCAGGTCTGTTGTGAAGCTGCTGGCATTGGCCCTGTTGGACACAGGGGAAGCTTGTAGCAGCTTCCCACAGAAGCCACCCCCATAGTTCTCCTGCTACTAAAACCTTCCTATGTAAATCAAATACAGGAAGATACTTTGACAACAGTACACATGACCTTAGTTTTAGTGTTTTTAATATGTTGCCAGAGAAGTGACACATCTCTTGCTCTACGTGGCTGTAGCGCTACGAACCAGCATCTCATTTATTTTTGAATGGTAATTGTGTATGTGTGTGCATTACATGTATAATATAAATATTGGAGAGTTGTTCTGCTTTCATATCCATAAGTTAGGTGAAACCTCAGTTAATTCTGATGGACCGCAACTTTTTTTTCCTGCTAGTAACCTGAGACCTAATTTACAGGTAACTTTCTTTCAGTTTCATCTAGTTAACTTTTATCATAAGTAGTGACATTTCTTTAAGAGTGGCAATTTCAAGGGATAATGCAAAACAAGCTTATGAACTGCTAATCATTTCTGAATATATGTGCCATTTGCAGCAAAGTAATGACTGTTCTTCCTTGATTGCAGTTAGCAATTAGATTCAGTTGGGAACTAACTGCACTTTTCTAGCTGATATTATATCTTTGTTCAGTAGAATTGAAGTGTTCTTTTACCCCTTCTGGATTTCTTGTACCACATGCCTTGGTCTAAAGTTTGCCTTCCCATTTGTATGTCTGAAATGGAGAACAGGATGGTGATTTTTCAAGTTACATGGATGCTTGGTAGCCTGGCTCAGCTGGTTTTGGTGCCCTGGTACCAAGGCCATGAGTTTGTGATGCTTCTCTACCTGATATTGGCCAGTGTAGCAATGTGTTTGGTGACTGGAGCGCTTGGGTGCTGCACTGAGTATACACACATTAAGAGTAATCATTTCAACCAAGCTTCAGCTTTTCCTCCTTGTATGGAAGATTGTTACTGCTTTGAGCTACCTCTGAAGATTTATCTGATGTTATCAGAGTGACTAAGATAATTAATGGGAGGAGCCAAGGTTTCGAATTTGAGTTCTTCTGAATCAGTTCTGCTACTCAAACAGATCTAAAATTGCTACTTTACTTTAAAAATCTTATATTCCTGGGTAGCCTGTAATATTTGTTACTAACAGGTTAAAAGTGTTAGCTTGTTTAATGGTCAGGTGCTTCTCTGACTGAAAGCATCTTTAAGGTTGGTGATTGTTTGTGTTGAAGGTTTATGAGGAAGCTAGCAAGACAGAATGGCAAAGATATGAAAAAGAGATGGCTGCATATAAAGCACAGCTAACTCCAGCCCAGGCTGCAGCTTTGAAAGAAGAAAGGAGTAGACAACAAGCAAAAAGAAGATCACGGAGGATAAAAAGAGTAAGTATTTTGAAGTTCAGGTTTATTTTCTCTCAAGGGACCTAATGTCTGTTTGTCCAGTACACAGAGCAGAAATGAAATACTTAGAAATGTAAAATCAATTCAGAATAAAAACAAACAAACAAACAAACAAACCCACACCACAAGCATAGAAACAAACTAAACAAACACAAACACCCCCCCCCCAACCCTGTGGACTAAAATAATTGCTGGTGTTAGTAGTTATTTTAGTAGCTCTGCTCTATTTGAAGACCAGAACTATCACATACCTTTGTGCTTAGAGGTAGTTTCTCTATGATTTTTTCTTCATATTCCTAAAGCTTCTAGAGAAATGAGGCATAATAAAAGACATCTGAACCAGCAATACCTTGTTTGGTTGGAAGGGCATCCAGAAATAGCTTCTCACAAAGGCCTTGTATCTGTCACTTCAGTGGGTCATGCTACAGGTAGTAGCTATTTGAAGTAGTCTTTTTTCCTTACTTTCTTTGGATTTGTTTTACACTTTGCTATACGTGTAGCTGTTGATATGTTGAATTAGGGCTGCACAGAAGCGCATCTCTTAGGTGTACTTTATCATAGACTGGTTTGGGTTGGAAGGGACCTTAAAGATAATCCAGTTCCAACCAGCCATGGGCAGAGACACGCTCCAGTAGACCACGTTGCTCAAAGCCCAGCCCCATCCAGCCTGGTCTTGAACACTTCCAGGGATGGGGCAGCCACAACTTCTCTGGACAACCTGTTCCATTGTCTCACCAACCTCACAGTGAAGGACTTCTTCCTTATGTCTAATCTAAATCTATGGTTTTTCAGTTCAAGGCCATTTGTCCTATCCCTACAAGCCCTTGTAAAAAAGTCCCTCTCCAGCTTTCACATAGACCCCTTTGAGGTACTGGAAGCTGCTAAAAGATCTGCCTGGAGCCTTCTCCAGGCTGAACAAGCCCAGCTCTCTCAGCCTGTCTCCATATGAGAGATGCTCCAGCCCTCTAATCATCTTCATGGACCTTCTCTGGACTTGCTCCAGTAAGTCCATGTCCTTCTTATGTTGGGGGTCCCACAGCTGAATGCAGTACTGCAGGTGGGGCCTCATGAGACCAGAGTAGAGCACTCTCACCTCCCTCTGCCTGCTGGTCACATGCCTTTTGGTGCCATGTAGCACATGGTTGGCTTTCTGGGCTGCAGTCGCACATTACTGGGTCACATTGAGCTTCTTATCAGCCAACACCCCCACGTCCTTCTCGGACCTGCTCTCAATCCAGTGTCTGCCCAGTTTGTATTTGTGCTTGGGATTGCCCCAGCCTATGTGCAGGACCTTGCACTTCGCTTTGTTGAACTTTGAGGTTAACATGGGCCTATATCTCAAGCTTGTCAGGGTCCTTCTGGATGGCATCCCTTCCCTCCAGCGTGTTGACTGCACCACATAGCTTGGTGTCATCAGCAAACTTGCTGTGGGTGCACTCAACCTTCATCACTGACAAAGATGTTGAACAGGATCAGTCCCAATACTGACCCCTAAGGAATGTCACTTGTCACCGGGTTCCACTTGGACATGGAGCTGTTGACCACAAATCTTGTGGTCATCCAGCCAATTCCTTATCCACCAAGTGGCCCATCCATCAAAGCCATGCCTCTCCAATAAAGGATTGTGAAAATTTAGGTTGTTAGCTTTTCTTAATTTAGTTTAGCAGTAGTCTTAATGAGTGGTGAAAGCATTTTGAGATACAGTCCAGTTTGTGGAATAAGCCACCAAACCCAGAACTTGAGCCTGATCTTTTTATAAAATATGACGATAAATGGTAAGCTTAGCTTTGGAAAAATGCACACTTGGCAGATTGAATAACTTTTCTTTTTGTTTTTAAAGGAATTGACTGTGCTTGGAAAACCTAAAAAACCTCGAAGTGCCTTTAACATTTTTGTGTCAGAAAAGTTTAAAGCAAGTGAGGGAATTTCGTCTACGGTAAGTCAAGAAAGATTGTTCTTTAAAATAGATTTGCTGTATCCAGAAAATCTGTTTTAGATTCTGTAATTTTCAACAAAACTGTTCAGTAGTTCATTATCTGGATTTCCTTTGTTTAGGTTATACTTTTTTAGGCTGCAGTGATCTGGCTCTCCTGCTGGTGGCATGTCCTGTATAAATTGCTGTAGCAATGTTTGTGCAACTTTTTGCACTTCAGTGTTAGAGACTTCCATCTGTTCATTCTGTAAGGAGAAAATTCTATTTTCCTTTGTTTTGGTGTAGAAATAGATTAGTTTTTCAAATGGTTGTGATTGCCTGCTACCATTTCTGTAGTAGTGGTTATTGTATCTCCTGTAGCACATTTGGTGTTAACAAAACATCGAAGAGTTCCTCAGCAGATGCATGAGGTCTGCACTTCGGGGTGATTGAAGTTATGCTGGTGGATTACTTGAAGTGCTGGAGACCTCACTTGTATGCCCAATGCATTTGTTACCCCATGCAGTTAGTCACGAAATCAAAGTGGTGGAAATAGTTTGTTCCTTCATTTTCTATGTACAAGGCAGACATCTCCAGTCAGCTGAGGCCCAGTTTGACACACCTGTGGCCAAATACTCCTTAAGTAGTACAAAGTTTCCTGTGAACATGGTTAATACTTAGGGGGCTTGGCTTAAATTAGGGGTTGTTCTAAATGCAGCTGATAACACCTAGTGATATGTAGTCATGTTGCTACAAATCAGCTAAGCTGCTGTACCTGCCTGCTTTCACAGCAGGCTAAATGACTTAAACTGCTTCATGCTTGTATTGTCCGTAAGCATGCCCCAGATGAGGCCCAGCAGCTTACTGAACAGTATAGTTTATTAATTCCCTTCGTTGCGTGGGTGGGGTATTAAGGTTGTGTGACTTTGTGCTTTTTTACATTGGTTTGTATTTGGCTTTCACTAGCATGGCATCTGTAACCCTCTGCAGTCAGCCTGCTGGTAGAATAATTCTAATGCATTGCATCTTTTATATCCTGTAGGCAAAGCTGAAGAAATTACATGATATGTGGCAAAACCTGTCCAGTTCCCAAAAGCAGGTATGTCGGTGAATTTTGATGAGGCTCTGATCTAACCAAGAAATGACAGACTTGAGTCAAAATTAATAAATTCATAGGAAGTCTTGAACTTGGTTCCTGAAAATATGATACCAAGGATGATTCTCAGATTTTTATAATGCATTTTGAAAAAGGCTGTCATTACTTTTATACCATTAATGACTGTTTCTTTACAATGTTGATAAAATGTGAGTCATTTGGATAGGATGGAAGTTCTGTATGTCTGGACATGGATGCTTGGGTGGCATTTAGGGAGAAAGGTGGAATAATTTGCAACAATTTGATGGTTTTTTCTTAATAATATATAATACTTTTTTTTAATGCCAGCATAGTAATTCACTGCTCATCAAAGAATTTCACTGGTAAAAGCAACAGAAGTCTGCAAGTGGTGTGCATGTGGTATTTTGTTAACTTTTTTTTTGTTTGATTGCCCTGGGATAGTTTTCTGCCAGCTTTCTCAGTGTATTGAAATATGAGCATGCGGATGGGTACATGAAAATCTCAGGGCACTGAGTTTTTTATTTATTTATTTTTTACTAAATTCTAGGCTAAACCTCCAGATTTTAAGTATTCTGTACCCTAGTGTCCTTCCTCCTGACTGCCCTTCTTCCAGACGCTTTGAATGTGTACTTAGAACATACACTAGGTTCATGTTCTTCCTTTAGAAAAATAATTTGAAATAGTTCTGCAGAAATACCTGTTCTTTTTCCTTATATAAGCCAACTCTGCTCTCTCAAACTAGTTCTTAAAAGCCTTAGCTATTAGTAGCAATATTGAATAAATGTGCTCTTCAGGAGTGGCCATCTAATGACATAACCATAATACAATGGTAAGGTTTTGTATTTCTGTGCAAATTTGATTTTTTTATTGATTTTCTGGCAGCCATGGTGAATGCCTGGGATCCGCACTGCACAGGTCCTGTTTGAAGTCACCTTTGCATCAAAGGAAAGGATGTGACGTGGCAGTTATTCAGACAAAGCCTCTTCTGTAACAATACCTCTTTTTTTTTTCCAGCCATACATGCAGCTTGCTGAAGATGATAAGATTCGGTATGAGAATGAAACAAAGCTGTGGGAAGAAAAAATGATTCAACTTGGACGTGAAGACCTTGTCCGTTTCAGACAGAAAAACCCAAAAAAGAAAACTGCTGAAACTGCAAAGAAAGCTGAACCAGTCAAAGCTTCCTCACATGAACAGAAGGTGAAACTGAAGTTAAAAAAATCAGAAGAATAAAATGGTCAGGAATTTTTATATTTTAATCCCCTTTGGTTGTCATGTCGTCATTGTGCCGTGTTAATGCTGCAGTCAGCATTAGCACTGAAATTTGGAAAACACATGAAGGGCCCTATGGAGAAGGAGGAAAGGTGATAAGGTCAGAGAGGATTCAGTGTCCCTCAGAACTGACTGAAATAATCATTGCAGGCATAGCCTGAACTGTACAACAATAACTGGTTAATCAAGCTGTGAATAGTGATACCCACTGGCATCAGCAGAGCTCTCCAGCAATGGTAGATAACAGCTATAGCTTTTATATTTTTTTTATAAAAGCAACAATATTCTACGATGTTACCATCTAAATTCTGTAAATAAGAGCTGAAGTTAATGCTGCTGTGTTTTATTCCCTCCATGGTAACGGTTGTGAAATGTTCCACATTTCAGCAGAAGGTGCAAGAAAGGTAAAATGCTAACTTTTATTTCATGCATCTGACTTTTTGTACCTATCGGCTTGTGTATACTACTTGCGTTGCATTTAATTAAAGACCAGATGAGTTTTGTATAAACATATCTTTATTGGGCTTTTATTCCATGGTTTCGTTTGGACACAAGCAAACACTTTTGCCTTCCTGTTGTCACATCTGGGACTGCCTGGAAGGAACAGAAAATGTGTGAAAGGTTGGAACATGGAATTTCAAATGTAATAAACAGGAATTTTCAAGAGCTTCCGGAGTTTGGGTTTTTTTTTCCTGGGGTCTTTGTCTTGGTGAAAGTGTTGTGGGTACTTTGTTGAATCTGTGATTTTAGAAGGCAGGCAAGCTTTTCCAATAGTCAGTGGATTTCACCCACCCGGAATGGCCCATAAAAGCCAGCAAAGCTGGTAAGTGGAAAGACAAATACGATTTCCTTGCCTCCCATTTATTCGTTCCCCTTTCTGCCATGCGCCGATGTTGCCTGTGTTCGCAACGGCTTCTGCAACCGTCACCGACCAGTCGCGCATGCGCATCCCAGCCTCCCCCAGCTCTCGCGGGAGCGGGCGTGGCGTGGCGTGGCGCTGCGGTGGTTGGCGCTCCTGTGTTGGTGGGAGGGCTGGCGAGGTGTTGGCGGGATGGGGCTCCTGGAGCTGTGTGAGGCCGCCTTCGGTTCCCCTGACCTCTATCGCGTACTGGGCGTCCGCAGGGAGGCCTCGCCCGAGGAGATCCGCCGCGGCTACCACCGCGCCTCGCTCCGCGTCCATCCCGACCGCGCCGAGCCCGATGCTAAGGAGGAGGCGACGCGGCGGTTCCAGGTGAGCGCGGGAGTGGGGGCGGGCGGCGCTTGCGGCGGCCCGTGGCTGACCGACTGACAGCCCGGCCGGCCCGTGTCCCCGCAGATCCTAAGCAAGGCGTACGCCGTCCTGAGCGATGCGGAGCAGCGCGCCGTGTACGATGAGCAGGGCACGGTGGACGAGGAGGGCGAGGCGCTGCGCGGCGAGCGGGACTGGCTGGAGTACTGGCGGCTGCTCTTTAAGAAGGTAAAAGGGGGCAGGGCCCCCCCCCGGGCTCGCCCCGGCAGGATGGCAGACCCTTGCAGCAAGGGGAAGCCCGCTGGTGCGCGGCTGTAGCAATGTCTGCCCTACGAGCTCTGTAAAACTGGAGCGCTGGGGGTGTGTGGTGGGTGCGCGTGTGATGTCTCTTAAACTTCTGGCAAATACGTCCTGAAACTCTGCAAGTATGACCTCTTTTCTTCAGATTACTGTAAAGGATATTGAAGACTTCGAAAAGAGATATAAAGACTCAGAGGAAGAGCTAGCCGATATTAAAGCAGCATACATGGATTTTGAGGGTGACATGGACAGAATAATGGAGTCAGTGTTGTGTGTGAGCTATACGGATGAACCAAGGATACGGAAAATCATTGAAAAAGCCATTGCTGCTGGAGAAGTCCCATCCTACAAAGGTTTTGTAAAAGAGTCTAAGCAGAAAATGACGGCAAGAAAAAGGCGGGTAGGTTATATCAATCAGGGACAAAAGAGAAAGCAATATGTATTATAGAATCACAGAATAATCAGAGTTGCAAAGGACCTTAAGATCATAAAGTTCCAACCCCCCTGCCATGGGCAGGGACACCCAGCTCTAAACCATATCACCCAAGGCCTCACCCAACGTGGCCTTGAACACTGCCAGGGATGGAGCATTCACAACCTCCCTGGGCAACCTATTTCAGTGCCTCACCACCCTAACAGGAAAGAATTTCTTCCTTATATCCAATCTAAACTTCCCCTGTTTAAGTTTTAACCCATTACCCCTTGTCCTATCGCTACAGTCCCTAATGAAGAGTCCCTCCCCAGCACCCTTAGAGGCCCCCTTCAGATACTGGAAGGCTGCTATGAGGTCTCCACGCAGCCTTCTCTTCTCCAGGCTGAACAGCCCCAGCTTTCTTGGCCTATCTTCATTATAAGCTTTTAATTTCCCTTGGTAGAAATAAATGAAACTGCCCCTGAGACAAATGTTTGCCCCAGGATTGCTGGGTTACAGATCTTGCTCAGGATCTTTGACTTCCATGTTTGTTCACCTGTGTTCTTCACATTCTCCCACAAACTGTTGTGAAAAGCTGCAGAGTTGTAATAGGCTGTTGCATATTAATTTTATTTCATTATTATACACAATGGCTTATTACAGTTTAGCATGTTCCTGCATTTATTTAGAAAGCCATGAGTTGCCAGGGTTAAGAAGTGTACATAGTAGGAAACGTTACGCTTGCCTTTAGGCAAGTATGCAACAACATTCAGGACTAAATGGACCTCTTCTGCTACCTGGGTATTTGTAGAATATGTTCTATACATATCACAGTAACCAGTTAAAGAAAGTATAATAGCTACTAAGACAAATAAAAACTGGGTGAGGGGAACAGGGGTGCGGATGTCACATTCAGCATTGCAGAACACCAAAAAAACTGTCTTGCTCGGCTAAATTGTGGAACCAGAAGGGGCTTTCTTGGACTAACTTCTCATCTGGGGTCAAACTTAGAAACTGTTCATGTTTCCCTGCAGCTATTTGTATGGAGATACAAAAAATAACATTTGGTAACTACTGTAAGACTTTGCCAAATAACATGCAAAATACTTCTTAAAAAATGGTTTCCTATTTTAGGCAGAAAAAGAAGCTAGAGAGGCAGAAAAGACTAAAGATGAGCTGGGCCTTGGTGGAGAAGATGATTTGAAAGTGCTGATTCAGGTAAGGCTTTTTTCTGTCTGTTAAACACTGGCTTAAAATCATGTTTTCCCTGAGCGTCTTTGTATTTTGGATCCTTGCAGCTGTTTTGAGTTCCTGAGGTTAAAACCTGACCTTGATGTTAGCTGTCTACATACTTTAATAATCAGAGAATTGTATGGGTTTTATTATCTGTGTCTTTTTTAAAATTAACACTTATTCTAGTAGTATTATTACACACACAAGCAGAATATTTGAATTCCGGCCTTAGGCAGTTGCACAGAGACAGTTGTCACAAGACAGTGATTCTTTCTGATGGATTCCACACAGATGTAGGGGTTGATAGGTCTCACTATTTTGCTATTGTGTCTCAGGGATGGAGGAAGGAAACTGTTTAAGTTCTGCTTTTTGGGATGTTTTCTGGTTTTATTTTCATACTGTCCAGGGGCCTTCCTAGAATGTTTATGCTAAATCATTCCTCAAAATGTAATAGAGTTTGGGGTATAAACTAGAAATTGCTTTGCTTTTCCTGGCCTTATGTTGTGAATTTTACAGCCACACTACCTCTTTCGATAATTCAGGAAGTTAGGTATGGAGCCTAGAGAATTCAGGCCGGCTTCTGCTTGGTGGTACTGTACTTTCTGTAGCCTGCATTCCCTGTTTAATGTATTCTAAGATTTTATGTAGCCATCTAACTTCAATAGGATAATCTGTATTGGGAAACAGTAAAAAAATTTTGTAAAAAGTGTTTTTGGTTTGTTTTTTCCTCCCCCAGAGCAGAAATAAAGATCGAAAAAAGGAAATGGATGACTTTTTGGCCCAACTGGAAGCAAAATATGCAAATAATACTAAAAAAGGAGGAAAGAAGACTGCAGCCAAGAAAGGAAAGAAATAAAGAACTGTATAGGCTGAAATATCGGGTATCATTTTGTATGGGAACATGTGAATTTGGGAGAATTTCGGAGCTAACCTGGACTACAGTTTTGGAGTGCGTGTGCATCAACTTGCTGTGACTGGAAGGTATGATCCAGAACACACCATATGAACAAGAAAGGCAAAGCGTTCTGGTGCTATTGTCCAAAATCCTCTGGGTGCTCTTCAGTTAAGATCAAACAGATTCTTGACTAAAAGTTCTGATACAGTAGGGAAGCAGTGTGATGTTTAGGCTGCCAGTGTGTTTATTAAACTTGTGTTGATTCTTTCTTCCAATCACCTAATGGGTATTGGTACAGCTGATGGTAAAACAATGTAATCCCACCTTTGAGTCTTCAGTGCTTTCTTGTGGTTTCCAAGTTGAAAATACTATCTTTTTGCTACTCACATGCCTTTTGTAGTAAACCTGCTGGTTTTAAAGGTCTTTGCACTTCAGCTCAACAAGTGTTTGTTATGTCTTCCAGTGGCTTTATAAAGATACTTTGAAAAATTGTAGATTTAATAAATGGGAACTTTCTACATAATTCTTTGCTATGTTGCTTCCCCAGCCTGCTCTCATTCTCTAGTTAGCTGTCAAATCAAACTGATCATGTTGACTCTGACTAATTTAAGTCAAGTAAATACTACATACTTCTGTAGCACCAGAAAATATGGCTCTATTATTAACCGTGTCAGTGCACATGATTGCATTAGATGAAAGGGTCACCTAGTGTTTGGTCTTTGATTGCCTGTGGCAGATGAAATAAAAGAGTATGAGACTGCAGCATGCAGCAATTCTGTAACACTGAGATGAGGCAAAAAACTTAAAAATACACCAAACTGAATATTTTTAGGGTTTATGATGTCCTGTGACAGGGAATTCCAAAGTTTAGGAAATGTATTGCATGTTATTTCAATAGCATCACCACCCAGTTTGCTGTAGGATGGTAGTGATTAGCTACTTCATTGCTTTTGTGAACACTTCTGTTATTTCAGAAGTGAATTACTGCTGTAAGATGCACAAATACTTTAATGCTTTTTTGCTTCAGTTTTTAAGCCATTTAACATAGTGCATAGGGGTATGAATTTGAAGGGTAACTGGCTTTCAATTCAAAGGAATGGGGCTGGCTTTATTTTGTGGGTCGTTTTTCAAAGGCTTATGAGCCACAAGATGAACATTTCCTGTTGAGTTGAAGGTCCTCATTGCTGCAGCGGTAGCTTTTAGGAACTGACTATTTAATAGAGCTTCCTGGGGGGAAGCTAGAGGTAGATAACAACTCTGTTCCCTTTTACTTGGCTGCTTGCAAAGATTATTCTGAGAGTACAGCATATTGTTATGTTGCACAACACATGACTTGAACATTACTTTTTGTAAAAAAAGCCCAGCCCAGGAGAAGTCTCTGGTGTCAACCACTTGTACAGAAATCAATAACTACCTTATTATGAGACTGCTTTCACTTTTTTAACACAGTGACTCCTCTAGGCTGTAAAATACTACATTATATTGCTAGAGATTTATGCAAGTTTATGTGTATATTTTTACAAATTATGCACTAGGACTACAGAAAACTTAAGCTGGTCCCTGAGGAATGGCACTGATAAAAAATGGGATGCTTATCTGCAGTTAAGCTTGAGATAACTAAATGACATTGTACAATGTTAAGAGAAACTGTATTTTGAAAGGGTTTAATGACTAGAGGCCTCTCTTCAGCACCAGTTTCTCTCTATGCAAAGTTAAGAAATTTCAACTGAGCCCAGTGTGCTTTTTCCTTTCTAGAAATGCAAAGGAAAATTAAGCCAGTTACATTTGCAGAGTTCTGCTTTGCTTTCTTTTCCCTTATTTTTGATTAGAGCACGCTTGGATCAGCTGGACTCAAGAGTTTCAATACTGATCAAAAAAATATTAGTTGTTCTGCAGGTACCAATAACATTTGACAGATTGCATAACTTAGAGTGGGGAAACAGGGAGCCACTTCAAAAAGAACTCTCGACAAGTTTTTTCCATATGAATTGTAATTTGAAACATAGTAATAAGGAAGTTCAGAAAAAAGTGCTTTTGAAGTGGGTTATAAAGGAGCAACTGTTTTCATGCAGAACCCTAACTTAGCTAAAATACAGTAAGTGGCTATCTTCTCCTTGTGTTTATACTTGTAGTCTGGTGCTTACTGTTTGGGACTAAAACCTTGACATAATCACTTATTTTGAGAAGCCTGTATTTCATGTTTTTGTCTTATTTGGGGCCACAAGGGCAACTACAGCTAATACCTCCGGTACGTTTCTCACACAGTGCAGAATGCATCTACTAAAAGCTACATTGCATCTGCGATTTGTGGAACTTCAGGGTGCAGTGCAGAAATCTTGTATAATTGCAGGTATTTCTGGAAAGGGAGGCTGACCTATTCTGTAAAATATCCCACCAGGAAGATAATGTATTTTCTTTGAATACTGTCTGGAGCTACTTGTACTAAAAGAGTATTTTTTGCCTCTTAAAGGTTCCTCAGTCACTGAGGAAGAGGTGTAAGTATGTAACACAGGATGAGTCAGTGCTGTGCTACCCTTGAACCTGTCAGTTTTGTTCATCTGGTTTGCTACCTTAGTTTTATACACGTGTATTAATATCTGCTGCAATTACTACAGGATTCATAATTTAGGTCTACGTTGATTTGTAGAAGCAGTATCATGCAGTGCTTGCCTTTGATAGTGTAATATTGCTTTAAACATAAAAATACAGTTACATAGTTCTAAAAAGTTTCAATTACTATTGCTGTGGAAGGCCTGGTTAATTTCCTGTAGAGCTAACAGAAAAATCAACAGGTTCTGCAGAACCTGCCCATAACAACGTGAACCAGTCACAACCCCGTAATGGGAAAACAGCAATGACCAAGAGCATTTGCTAGTTTTTCTAGGAGTTAGGCTTTACTGCCCACTGGAGTGTGATCACCCTTCCACCGGAGTATAACTCTTCTACTGGTAGAAAATGGAATGTTTAAGTATACCCCTTCTAATCTTTGGCACCTGCTTCTTAGATTTATATAAAAATAACTATTCAAAAGGAAGGGTGTTTGAAAACTCTGTAAACAATGTTGACATTGCTGAGAATGAGAGGTGGTTCATGACTCTGTGGAGATGGATGAATGCTTCATGGCACATTAGACCCCTGTTTGCTTTTTGTGACTGATCCACTTCGCCTGTGGGCTTTCACAGACCCATGCAGCTGAAGACCTAATGAACAGAAATCATGTACAACTTTTAAGACCTCCAGAAAGTATTAAAACTAAGTACCAAATACAGCTCTGCTAGCTTAAAACTAACATGCTTTTTATTCTAATACATGATTATCAACTGCATTATGTGTAACTTGTCTCAAACTTGTAGAAGTGATTTGCCTTCCAAAAGGGACAAAGTTTGTGCTTTCATAGTTGCTGCATTGCAGGGAACTACTGTATTACTTGATATTTTGTCCAGTATTCAAGTTGTAAAACTCATCTTGCATTCAAAGATACTGTTAATGTGTTGGTTTGGTTTCTTTTTTGGGGTGTGAGGGGGAAGAGCAGGTATTTTCTTTCATTTCAGTAGGAACCACTCCTTGTTTAAAAACAAGTTACTTCAGTTTAGTGCCTTTGTTAAACTCAAGTTTCTTGTACTACTTACATTAATGGTAGTAGGCCACTGTGCTATTAAAAAAGTGGGAAGACTGCTCCTGTCCTCTAATAATGACCCATGTACTTGCTACTTTAACCTTTGCAGCTTACATTAAATTTTGCACCTTCAATTATATCTTGTTAATATAGTTTTATGTTGGAAGTTCTGTCAACATCATAAGGAATCCCAAAACACTGTGATGAAAGGAGTCCAGTGTAACTTGCCTTAACAGACCTCATTTTCAGAAAATGCATCTAACACTGTGCTCTGTGCCACCCTTTCCAGGTGGAGGTGATGCTTGACTTTATATTGAAGCTAGCAGTGAGTGCTCGAGGCAAACTCAGCTGAGAGCTATCAAGATGGCATTCAGAAAATCTGTTCCAGGGCACAAAAGTTAACTTTCTGCTCTACCATGACTTGTAAACACTTCCAACTGACTAGGCTAGCCCTTGTGTGTGCAGTAAGGTCAAAACCTAAATCTCTGAGGGTAAGCTTCACTGGTCTACTGTAACACTTGTGTACACACATGCAGCTTAGTACTGTAGCTCCCTACTATAAAAAAGAAAAAAAGATGTAAAAAACAAAAACAAAACAAAACAACCCAAACCCAACCCTGGTTATGACTGTGTAACTACTCCAAAGCATATATGAGAACTGTTTTTGAAGCGTATTAACCACAAACAAGATGACTTTGCAGTGAAGGAAGAGAAAAAAAATGGAGGAGTTACACATTACATTCACACCAACAATGCCTTCCTGCTGCCTTGATACTTTGGTTAATTAAAAATACGTAACTTCAGGTGAGATTCATTTTGGGTTATGCCAAGTAACTCCATTAAGTTTATCCAATTGTTACAAATTAAACAGTACAAGAAACTCTTGATTTCAGAGTACGCATGTGAATTGTACAGTTCCTGGCTTTAAAATATATTTCAAGCTGATCTAAAACAATTTTAAGATCTAGTAGAATACCTTTCAGATACAGTGCAAATAGGTGTCCTTGGGATATAAGACCATTTTTTTCAGTTATACAGTTGAGCAGAAGAAGTCCCCTTGACAGAAAGTAGTTGTTGCTAGTTTGTTTAAACTGGCAACTTCTGCTTTTACCTTTGACATGAGAGCCACAAGGGCTGATTACACAAAGCTTCCTTAAATGATTTAAAATAGCAGGTGGTAATAAAAGCACACCTGCACCCAAACATATTATTTGCAACTATAAAACCTGTATAATGGAAAATATAAAACATTTAGAACTTTGAAAAGCTTCCTGAACACAGTTACCTATGTAGGAAATGCATCCCTGTCCTAAAAGCCTACTTCTTCCTTGATACTACATTCTGTGACTGATGAGCATACCTGAACCTATTGATCCTCTGCTTGTCCGATTACTGTGATCAATAACAGTGTAAGAACGGCGGCACTGTGGATCTAGCTGAAAAGAAAGTTCACATTATTTATGTTTGCAGACAAAAATCTTTAAACATCGAGATGATAATGCAGATACAAACTAATTAAACATATCTAAGATGTGGTAAAGGTCTAAGTAGAGCTTTTACAACTTCAACAAGAGTTAAATCAATTTTAGGAGTAGAAAATATACTTTTAAAGCACTCGTACTTAGAATGACCACAGTTAAAGGCACTCTCAACATTTCTGGAAATAGTTCTGTTTCAAAGTAGACTTCATAAAGTTTGTTTGCATGTAACTGCTAAGTCAGGGATATTGAAACTATACACAGAAACTAAACAAGCAGCTATTTAAAAGCTACTGTTGAGATGATAGCTTTTAAAGGCTAGACCAAATTCTTTGTTAGAACAAGCTAGCAGTTGTGTTTCAATAAATTAAACCAAGAGACTAAGACAGAACCAGGCTGGACATTGACAGCACAGCAAGCTTGTGCAATAAAGCAGTGTTTCTGAATATAGCTGCAGAAATTAATTCTTCATGTCTATGCAGAACTTTAAAGCATTCTCTCCTACCTCACAGTTCTTAAGCCCTCACAGAAGATGCTAGATTACCAGTGCAGGTGATAGATTGAATGTTATAACTAAAGTAATACTTAGCTTTTTGCACAAGCATTGCAAACTTCCATTTTTCAAGGAAAGTTTAGTACCAGCAGCTACACATAAGTGTAGTTCAGAGCTGGCTATGAGAACTATAGTGCTTTAGCTATCCTGAACAAGTGACTTGCCCTGTTTGTTTCAGAAGTGCCAAGCAGTGATGTTTCTGTTGAAGTGAGAGTATCTAATTAAGTGGCAAACCTGATGAACTCCCTGCCACTGATCGCATATGACACTTGCTTCTCAATATTTATTTATGTTAACTGTCAGAGCACCCTATTCAGAAACTAAAGATGATCTGGTATAATTTGCCATGCTTTACCAAGAACGTGTTGGTTGTGTTAGGCTTGGAGAAATGATCAGGTAAGAGAAGCCGCTCCTGTAGCTGCTGGTGGGTATCTTCTTGTGCTGTTACACTGTGAGCTCGACTTGAGTTCCCTCGAGATTTCTGCATTAAAGAACAGTTACAAGTTTTCCTTATTGCAGCAGCACATTTAAAATAATTAGCCTAGAAATTAAAGCTGATTTTCCAAGTCAACCATTTTACATCTAGTTACAGGGAGGAAAAAATTCTGGCATTAATTGGAGTTAAAGCAGTTGACTCTGGGTGACACTGATAGTCAAAACTGATAGGACTTTTTTGTGCATCATTTCAGTGGCTGTCACAAGATCACAAATAAACTGGAACTCTTGGGTTTGGTAATTGGATCAGCACTCATTGCAATTTTAGACTACTGAATAATAAAATTAAATTGTGCCTCTTACCGTTTGCCTCTGGGATCCCGCAGTGCTCATATGACCTGCCATACTGGTGGTATTAATAGGTGGTAGGAGATTATTTCGGTTTAGCAGCAGTGGGGAGGATGAGGTAAGCTGCTCATGTGCAGTCAGACTGAAATGCACCAATAAGAACAGGAAAAAACATACGGTTTATGTTTGCCATGGTGTAAACATACAGTATTGTCAGTTTGTTTGGCATTACATAGACAATGTTAAAAGTAAGCAACAATTGCAGAATTTTGCTACAAGATGCTGGTGTTAAGGCTGATTACTGGAGACATGCATGAAGTTTGGCAGAAATCTTTTTCATCTATTAACAAGAACTTCTAGTTTTCAGAATGTTTAGTATTAAGCATATAGGGAAAGTGAGTCTGAGAATGAATACCCCAGCCAAAATGGGCGTATGTATGTAAAAGCTAGCTGGATAAAATGCATTCAGTGCCTGTTGAAGGAGTGTCCTGTGCAGCTGGTACTGCAGAACAAAGGGGTGTGTGTGTGTGTGTGTGTGTGTGTGTGTGTGTGTGTGTGTGTGTGTATTCATATGCAGTTACCAAACAATGGTAGAATCTTGTCTGCCTATTTCCAGGCACAGCATTATTTTCTGCTCTTTGTTCTTATCCTTTAGGATGAAGTACTGCTAACTTCAGACTAGCAACTGGAGCTATGCAACAAGCCTATAAAACAACAGCGGCCTGCATTTTAAGCAGAGCAAGTGAAAAAAGCTGTATAATGCAAGTGCAGAGTATAGCTCTTTCACTTATTACAAGCATCATGTAAAACATCTGGGATAAAATAAGGCTTCCACCTTCTTCATATTTTGAGTATTTGAAGTAACAGGTGCAAGAGGCTTTTAGAAGCATTCTAAAGGAAGCTAAACCAATCTAGTTACATAAAATGTAAAATTAATTAAGTTTTGGTCACAGAAGGCATAAAAAGAGAAAGTGTTTTCTTTTCTAGATAAAACCTCTTCCTAGGAAAGCCTTTTCACCTGAAAGATGTCTGCAAATTATTGTGTGTTTGACCAATGCTAGAAATGATCAAGAGGCCTTAGCTCTGTACGTGTTCTGGAGTTGACTGAAGAAAGGATGTTTTGTGAAGAGGCATTAAAAACTATAATCAGCATTTTAAAAAATACTTTCCTAGTGCATACATTTAAAAATACATGGTATTAAAGGGGAGATGTTAATAACTATTAGATTGAACAAAGCCTGAGGAAAGGGAACAGAAGCATTAAATACTAGAAGTAGAAACATCAGTTATGAAGGGACAAGGACCAAACCTCTAGAGAGTATGTGACAAAAATAAAATACCAGGCTGAAGAGTTTATAGGTAAGCTGAGAAACTGAAAGGAAACTGTTAATTTACAACATGTGTGGAATAGAGTATATTAAACCCTACATTGTTTCCTGATACCCCAAGGTCCCTCTAAATGACATTCACTCAGATCATTATGCCAAACAAAAAGAAGACATTCTAGATGTAATTGAGGATTTACCGACTAGATTAAGAACCCTTTGGTCAAATGACCTAAGATGGGCACCTTCTTTATACCCACTTTGGACTAGAACAGCAACAGGTAGTTTGACCTCCAAAAAAATACAGACAAAACACAGCTCAAAAACAGGCTATAGAAAAAGAAAGCCAGTGTCAAGAAAGATGGTGGTATTTGCTTGTACAGTGTAATCTGTGCACAAAACTACCTAAATATGTGGGGTACCAAGGAATATTGTGCTTTAATGGGCAGTTAATTCCTTTAATCAAATAATTCATGTTCTTTCTATTCAGCTGACTGCTTTTGGTATAAACTGGGTTCTCTAGATACGGTAACTTGCAGTGAGAAACTGGTTTTAAAACATACAGTTGAGTTCCCCCGAAGACATCATCCACAGAGGCTGGAGTCCCAGTACGAGAGTGGCTTGTGTTGATGGGATGCAGGGTACGTGGCAGTGGGTTTCGCCTTCTTGTGGAATGTGACAGGGATGATGTGCTGAGCTCTAATGGACGATTTGGCCACACTCTGTTAGAGAGGATAGAACTGGAACCCAGCTGTTTGTCATCCAGATCCCTAACAAAAGAATTACAGAACGAAAAGAGATATAGTCAATATGAATGACACCTAAAAAGTACTCATTTACATGTGACATTAACAATATTACATGTGGATAGAGATGATGTGTTCAGTTTGGGGTTTTTTTATGTAATTTATATAAAGTAATTTGCAGCCAAATTAGAAAATAACAGGGGACGGAAAAGATAAAAAAATCCTATCTTTTTTTCTTCACTGAACTGTGAACTCTCTGATTGAAGATTCTCTGATCTGAGCAAATCTCTATCCCATCTTAATTTCTTTTCAGGGTGTAAGTGCCAACAGTAATGCCACAGCTGTTCACTAAGTGTTAAACCAGCAGCAATCAAACAGAAAACCTGTTCTAGAAATATACTGTTTCATAGAAGACAAATAAGTAAACAACCAAGCAGGAAAGCATTTGAGGATTGCTTTCTCCAGTGTAGACAGTTATCTCTCAGTATTTCAGGGTGAATCCCTCTCTCCATGAGCGTGCTCTACTTTACAGCAGGTAATCTATAGTTCTTACGGTGTTTTCTCCATTACAGGCAGATTCCTTTGCTGTAGCTGGATCCCCTGTATTACCATCAATCCATTTAGATTACGTTGAGAGCCAGTACTTGACACTTGAGAGAGATTTACCTGAAAGTTAAAAAAAAAAAAAATAAGTAAATTACAGTTTGCAGAGACATATACACGTATGTACAGATTTTTGTCCCCATGTGGAATTTCGGAAAAAACAATTGCTTCCATGATATCCAGACACACACTGGATTACATTATTTCCCCATCTAAGGCATTGTTTCATCCTATTGTTCTTGCAAATGGTAGTGCTTAGAAAATGTATCCTACCGTGCTATGTCATACTTAATATTTTCTAACTGAGCTTCTCATTTGCATGGCAGGATCTTCTAACAATGGCTATAATTCCAAGCTCTATAAAACTAATTTTCAGTGTATGTCGACATTTTTTGTCAAGAACAGAACTGCAAACTCCTTTGTGGAATACAGACTGATCTGGAAAAACATCAAATTCCACCCACTGTTAACAATAGCAGATAGAAAATACCAGAGCTTTAATCTCTTCAGCATACATACTTGAGGTGTTTTTCTTCTCTTTTTGCTTTTGCGGCCACATCTGGGTTTTGAGCACTACACATACAGTAAAGGGAACATGAGGAAGAGGCAGGGGGTAGAAATAAAGGAGAAAGAAATAAAAAGAAGTAAGAAGAAAAGAGCTGAATTAAAATGGAATAACAGGTAACACTTTGGCACTCACCCCTCTAGGAGCAGATAATCTAAAATAGATAACATAGTCAAATTCAGTGTCTGAGGAAAAAAAACAACCTGTTTTATAACTGTAGTGGAATTTGCCCTTTAGTGCCTGCTGAGTTAAACCTAGTGAGAATGGGATCTCAATCATGCAATCCTCTATCTCACAGTTTAGATCAAATATTATTAAATATAGAAAGAAGTACATCACTAATGAACAGTCAGCACAGTTGTCCAATACGTAACCAAGTTTTAAAGAGAAAAGCAGGAACTAAAATACTGCAACTGAGAACAGAATTTAAGTGTTGGAAAGGACAGTCAGAATTCACACAAAATCCAAACTCGTCATGTATTTAAACAATCTCTCAATGTACTTGAATCTGTTTGCTTAGGTAGCACAGGTATTGATTCATCCCTACATAAAACAGTTGGCTAAAAATACTTACCGGATTTGATGTCACTGAGGGCATTTTAGTTTGTGGCACACGAGGTAACAACACTGGCAGAGGATCAAATTGCAAAGCACTTTCAGCATCTGCTCTGATTGCTTCTACTGCTATGATATTTTTCTCATCATCTATGCAAAGTGGTAGAGAATTCACGTCAGTACAGACTGGCCCTGCTGGTTGTGGACTGTGCTATTTTTGTGAAGAGAGCCCTCTCAGATGGTAAGCTCTGTTAAACCTTTTGAAGGCATGTCTCACACTGTTAGAAAAAATACACCACGTACACCCCCGAAGAGATTATTCCCAAATCAATCTCTCTCATTGCATTCTTGCAAAATTAAAAACTGAAATCCCCTTCTGGATCTTCAGTTTAACTGTGATACTTACCAGAGGCTGACCCTTCCCAGTGTCTGCAGATTAATTCTTCCATGCAGCTTATGACTTCACTCCACACATCATCAAACACAAATGTAAGCACAGAATCCTTCATACAAGCATATGGAGAGATAGGAGGAAATCCCAGTTTCCGTCTACCAGAGGACAGTCCCTTTCTCCTCTCATGCAACTCCTCCTCTCTGTAAAAACATAAGCATTACCTATACCATAAACATAGTTTCTTTGTCATATGTTGTTGGATTTATTTAATAGGATCAGCTAATGCTGCATTTCTGTTCCATTTTCTCCTAACCTGAAACAGGTGAAGGCAGCTGGCCAAGACAAGCTGTTAACAATTTGAAATACAATTTGAAATTTCAGGAGAAGTTTTATATTTATCACACAGAATTATTTTCTGAGAGCAGTATCAAATAAGAGTCTAATAGTGAAAGAAGCAAGCTTCTGTACATCAGGCACTTGAACTTTCATTTCTTTCACAATCTACTGCTGATCTAAATAAGAAATGACAATCACCTCATTACAGCAACCCTTGTTTTCCCCACACAGTATCACTATAAATGATATTCATGAGTAATAAATTAGTTACCAAGGAGATCAAAGTTCCATTTAAAAATAATTATCAAAAAATTAGATATAAATATTTTTAGATATATAGATATAATGTAAATATATCTAAATCTATATAAAAATAGAAATAGAATATTAAATATTTATAAAACATAAGCATCAATAGTTCAAGTGATACTTGTTTATTTGTCAGGCTTCACTCATTTTTAGACAATTACATGTAATCAACAGAGGGAAGAAAAAACATAATACACAGCAGCAAGTGGCCTTTGCTGCGCTCTTCTCAATGCAAGAGGTATTCTGAAATGTGAAACGTGGAAGACAACTGAACAAAAAAGCTTATGTTCATCAGCCAAAAGAAACCTTACAGAATAGAGAAAATACTGATGTGAGTACACTCGTTATGGCTTTCCTGTATGTTCCCCAAATCAGTATTTACCATCCAAAAACTACAAGGCGGGGGGGGGGGGGAGGGAACCAAAACAAAAAAACTAAGGAGATTCCACTAGAAAAAGCTGTAATACTTCCACTGTTGTTTCACAAAGACAGCAGTATTGTTTGCTGCAGCAGTGTCCCTCTGGGCTGGTCAAAGCATGCCACCTACCAAACTGAATCTCATGGTCCATGCAGTTAAGTGGCTTCCTTTATTAAAACCAGTTAAGTAGTTGGCAACTTACAGTACCACCCAGAGTCCTTACCCAGGCCACATGTTCATATTGTTGGGTTGAATGAAGTAAAGGGAAAAAAGAATTCTCTTTATACTAACTTTAATCCTTTCTTCTTAAGGTAAAAATAGCGATATTTTTTTCTTGCAAGCATCAAATCCACTCCCAATTCTTAATTTACCACTGAAAATCTGGAAAGGTACAATTCCAACCAAAATGCCAGTACAAAACCAAAGTAGCACACTGCTAGTGCATAACAAACAGCAATGAATTTGACTTAGTATAAAAAATAAATGGCATATAAATAAGTTTTATTAAATATGCATATAGAGAGCAGGCTATTAGTTATGATGGAAGGAACTATTTAAACCAGGCACTAAAATGGCTAATATGAAAACCTACACAAAAAAAAATCTGAAAAATAATTTAGCAAAATAAATTGTTCTAGGAAATGAACTGGGAGAATTTCCAGTGCCCAAGCATCCTACCTCAGGCCTTTGAAAGTTCTCTAGAGAAAAGATATAAAAAAATAAATTCATCAAATGTATCAGCTATCAATTTATAAAAAAATTATCAACATCAAAACCAAATATACGTTATATATATATTGTTAATATATATATACATTAACTGCAGGAATTCCAGGATACTGATACTAGCTACTACCTTAATATTCAATACCTACACATCTCTGTGGTCAAATGCTAAATATTCCTCCATTATGCCTTCAGAGACAATTACTTCATCTTCACCTTCTTCACTCTCTGGAGAACACAAGGTCGGAGACTTGGAACGGTCAGCCTTTTTGTGAATGGGAGTAACAGAAAGAGGTACCTTCTTGCCAAAAACACTAAATCTGAACAGGTGACAGTTTTCAGAAAGCAGAAATTAAAACAAGTTGTTATTCCATTTCAAATAGCAGCATTTTGTGAACTGAGAGACAACATGGTAGTTAAGGCTGAGCAGTATGGAGGGCAACAAATTATGTATTAAAGGAAAAACTTTGGCCTGGATATTTTTAATTCTTGCCAAGAAAATTGAATATTCAGGGAAAAAAATAAAAATAAAAAAAAAATCAAAGTTAATTAAAAACCATCCTAAAACACTACATGATAAAAGTATCACTAAACTAGTGCTTTGTGGTTTTTAAGTTCTATACAAATTTAATAGATGATAACAATAAAACCAGCTACAATACATACATATTCTTAAGAAGTCAGTAGCAGCAAAGGTATTTCTATTTACTATCCAGTTTACTGTAGTTAGCAACAAGCAGTCTTGCTATTTTGAATGCTGTGTTCAAAACTCAGCCTAACAGAAGAGAGTTAAGCTTCATATTTTAAGAAGCATATCACTGGAGTCTACTGAGAACAAAATTACCTTCCCACCTTGGTACAGTCTGGGTTAATAACTGGTACTTACTCATGAGAATCTTTTTCTGGTGGTGAACTTACATCTGAGGAACCTAAACTGACAGAAGGTAAACTTGAATACCATCCGTACCCTTCATCTGTGGGGATCACAATCTGCTTCCCCACAACCCTGCCGTGGCAAAAGCAAAGGATAAACACATCAGAAAACACCAACAGTATTATTGAAGAGTGTGAGAAAACACAGCAGCAAATCCTAAAAATTCTATGTGGTTTTCTTTATGACAGTTAAAAGTGGTTTCAGTTGTTTTTCTAGTTGCTTTGAGTCAGGTAAATACATTAAGAAAATGCTGCTTGGGTTTATGATCTGCTAATTGGAAGACGTTCGAATGTGGACAAAACTGTTCAAGTTCATGTAGCCAAGATTTAAAATGTAAGTTTCTAAACAGCCATAAGTATTGCTGAACTAGGGCAGAAGGATTTTTATATTATTTTAAGCACCTGGCTTTCAGTTGAACCATACATCTTTTCTGAGAGAATTTGGCTATGTTAAAGCCAAGTCAGTTGCAAATAGCAAAAATCCTCTAGGAAGGAACCAAATGTGAGACAGCAGGATGTTTATTAAGGCCATGGCAGGCAGACTACCAAAGTGATCTTTTTATCTCTAAGTAGTTAATTCTAGTTATACTGTAATACTACAGAATTATATAAAACCACCCTGTTACTAATGCTGTTTTAAAAGCAACTGCTTCCATCTCTACCTGCAACTGTGACAGTACTAGCATTAGTCTATACAATACCTGAGATGAGGAAAGTTGGATGTCCATTGCTGGCATTCTTCCTGCAGTTCCTCAAAATACTCATTTTCTTTCTGCTCATAGAGAAGCTCATCAATTTTTCTGAGCATCTGTTCAACTTGCTGTGTGGCAGCTTTATCAAATTCCTAGAAAAGAAAGTTATCCAATAAACACCTAGTAAATAACATTCAGAGGGGGGGGGTTAAATTGATTTTTTTATATAATTGAAAAAGGCAATTAATTGTTTAAAGTTTAGTGGGACTTTAACCAGTTCCGTTTTTTTTGCACAGAAAGACATTAACTTTAAATAATTTCTCTCCAGTGATGATGCAGACTGCTGTTAAGACTGATAGTTACACATAAAGCTTTCACTGACACTACAGATTAACTATTAAAACATTTTAAAATATCTGTACTGTTATATTAAAGAAATAGCAATTTACAGAAAAGAAATCAGAACAGGAAGTATAAAATTCATCGACATTTTAATTAAATGGAAAATCTGTTGTTTGCCATGTCCATAGACAATAGCAAAGCAGAAACCAGTGCAGGATGGTGTGTTACACTGTGCAACTGATAGATACTCAGGACCTCTGTTACATGTTCTAGAAAATGGGGTCAGTTCTTGGGTAATTTAAAATCTAAACAGTTCCATCTTACCTCACAGAAAGCAATGGCATTCTTTGTTTGGCAGACAGAGAATAAAATAAATATTTCTAGATGAAAATGTTTTATGGTCTTACTGTATTTTGAGAAACATACAAGTGTGCAGAAGCTTTATAAACTCACACCACGTGCCTGAAAGTCATCCATTCATGTCTGGGATTCCACAACAGCAGCATTTATTATGTTGTACAGATGAACTTATGCTTTACATGATTTGCATTTTCAAAATGCTAGATGGAAATGCAGAATATTAATTGAGAAACATGAGCCTGTTATGTTTTGATCTGAGAGAAAGAAATGATGGGGAAGAGGTAAAGAAGATGTTATTTTATGATTCAGGGAGAGATCCAATCCTCACTTTTATCCCGCAGTGTATGTGCAATGGTATTTCTCTACTCAGTACGCTAGATTTGGCTTGAATGATTATATTCTACTCACATCGTAGCCCCAAGAGAAGGCTGAGCTGTCTTCGGTGGAGGCGTCAGCATAACCCTGAATAGCAGACCATGAATTCCCATGATCAGCTGGAGTAACAGAAGGATAATCCGATTCCTTCCAGACTTCAGGCTCCCTGAAATGAACGTATTGAATCAAGAAAGAGAAAAAAAAAAAACACCCAAGAATACACAATGACAAATAAACTTTTCTTTCCATACAACAGAAACATACCAGAATAGATCTTAGCAATGCTAAGAGTTTTCATAGGGTAAATACTTACTTCAGAGGCATTTAAGCAGAACCTACAGTACACAAGTAATTATAACAACTCTAACTACTAATGATCCTAATGACACAGGAATCTTGAGGTCAAGCAAAGCATAGATTTTCCAAAAATTATGTCAGTTAAGCAGCAGACTGTTTCCAGTCTTTGTTCTGCAGCAGTCAGGAATTATTTTATCTTTTCTCCTTGTTTCTACCTTAAAATCAGATGACCCGAGCCATTTGTGAGATGGGAACAGAACACAGCTATATCCTTTCTATTACTGCCAAAATAGGAAGGATATGTTCTGCAATGGTATAGTTCTGGGGTAAAGCCCCAGCCTACCACCTGTCCTACTTCTGTAAATATAACTAAACACAAAGGTGCCTGTTCCTGCCATTGTCTCCAGACAAAAATTCATTTTATGTTATGATGAGTACCTTGAGGTCTTTCCATGGTTTTCAGCCCTGGATGTGGCTGGGTGCACCTCAGCTCCTGGTTCGGGCAGTGGGTGATACTGCAAGGTGTGTTTTGGAAGTCCTTGTCTAAATAAGACAAGAAGTGGAACTTGACATTACTTACAGCAAAAAACATTTACAGAGGTCCCATAGTGTTTTTTTGTTGTTTTTTTCCCCTGCTTTTAAGGAATACACTAATTTGCATAACATTATTAATATCAGGCTAATCTTTGTTACCAAAGCTTTAGAATTAAGGTATCAGAGCTAACTCTAGGCTAAACATGGAGTTAAAGGGTTTTGCTTAAAAATCGGTGTCTTCATTTGCCCTTAAAATGTTGTGAATTGGTCTACAGTTCTCTAAAAGCAGATACAATGTCATTATCCCTGTAGGTGACTTATAATCAAACAGAACAAGAGCAGCCACCAAACCATGCACAGGCAAGCCAGGAGAAACAGTATTTGCCTTTTTTTGTTTGTTTTTGGTTTGCAGTTTATATGCTCAGGAAAGAAGGACAAGAAAAGTCACAATAGTTGGAGACAGAGAAGCATCAATGCAGGAGCAAAAGTCTTGTTCCCAGGTATCAGCTCAAAAAGCCTGAGGTAAAGAAGCTGCCTCTCTTGTCATTTCTTTGCTGTTCAGAAAAGACGAAGGAATTAAGCATAAACAAGTCATCATAAAAGTAGCGAATTACAGAAACTGTTGTCTTTGTTTAAACCTCTTGCTTCCCCCCCCCCCCCCACCAAAACCCAAACCCCAAAGCGCCTACACTCCTGTGAACTCTTGGGTCAAAAAAGAGAGGAGAAAAACAAGGATTTAATCGCATTCTCTCACACTTAATGTTTTCCAAGCGACGAGTACGCTCGCTGGCCAGGATCGGTGTGCGCACGTTACCGTGGCTGCCCCCATGCCCGGCACCTCCAGAGGCAGCACCGCCGGCAGCTGCCTTGGTACCGCCACCGCACCGCGGTAACGGCACCAGATCCCTGCAACTCTGCGTTAAACTCGGCCCACCCCGGCGTTACCGGCAAGCTGAGCCCGCAACGACACGCGGTAACTGGGGCCTCGACCTGACATGGGGCCCAACTATCGGGCTGAAGGGCAGTGCAAGGCGGGCAGGCCCGAGCACGCCACCAGGTGGGAGCGGGGCCTGGCTGGGGCAGCGGGGGCAGGGACAGCGGGCGGTACCGGGACAGGAGGAGGCGGCGGCGACTCACATCTCCAGAGCGCCAGGAGGCACCGGCTTCCGCGCGTATCGCGAGATCATCTTCAGCTCCGCCGCAACGCCGCCGGCCACCGCCGGCCCCCCGCCGCCGCCGCCGCCGCCGCCATGGCCGCACACCGCCCCTGGGAAGGCGGAGCAACGCGTTAGCGCCTCGCCCTGCCCAGCGCGGCGCGGTCTAACTCGGCCTGCTGTCATGGAGGCCGGCAGGCAGGCCGCGGTGGCGGAGGATGCTGTGCGTTACTGCCTCTTCGCGGCCACGGGGTCGGGCGGCGAGGCGCTGCTGCGGCGCTGCGCCGAGGGCGTCGCGGTGCGATTCGCGCCGCTCCTAGCCTCCTACATCTGGCAGCAACAGCCCTTCCGTCTGCGCTATGTGCCGCCGCGGGGTGAGCCTCGGGGAACAGGGGGTGAGGGGAGCCGGGGAAGCGCGATGTGTGAGGAAAGCCCGGCAGGGCGCTGAGCCGCCTCTCTTCGCCCCTGGCCAGGCGAGATCCCGGCGCACCTCGGCGGCACCACGCTGTTCGGAGATAACGTGGAGGATGAGTGGTTCATCGTCTACCTCGTCCGGGAGATCACCAGGGAGTTCCCGGGGCTGGCGGCCAGGTAATGGCCCCGACCGCCGCCGCTGGCCCCGTGAGGTGCCCGGCGGTTGGGGCAGGGGGTCCTAAGGGTCTTCCTGACGGGAGGTCGTGTCTTAACGTTAAAATAAAAAGCAGACATGGCTTTGGGAGTGTGTGTTAATTATGCTGTGTGAGACTTTTTTCTGGTAAGAAACCAATTTCTGCTTGGCCAGGATCGATGACAACGATGGGGAGTTTCTCTTGATAGAAGCAGCGGATTTTCTCCCAAAGTGGCTGACTCCTGAGAACAGTGACAACAGGGTGAGTAAAACTTACGTACGTGTTGCCAGGTGGCTCACAACGGATCTTCACCAGTTGGAGTTTTCTTCTATGTAACCAAGTGGTCTGGCTGCAACTGAAAATCCAGACTGCTGTCTAGCCCTTAGTAGTGAAGAAACTTCTGGTCAAGGCTCAAGACTTGTTTTAATTAACAACATAGGGTTTTTTTCAGGACAGTCTGTTTTTATTCTGGTTTTAATGAGCTTCTTCATGCTTGCCATGGATGTTAAACGAGAGACCTAACCACTGGAAATCTCTGATACTTGATTTACCTGTGTACTCTTGTAGAATCCTGTGTAGAGTGAATGGGAAACTGCTGTAGGGATACCTGGAAATCGTTGCAGGTATCAGGTTGTGCTTCTAGAATCGGTTTGTTAATGGAAGAAAGAAAGAGAAATTTCTTACACGTTTTTATGCGAACAGCAAACGTTCATATGGAGACAGCAGACCTTCCTGCTAGGCTGTGAGTCTGTGTTGTTCAGCTGGATCTGACTCTATTAATTAATTCTTTAGTTAATTATGACTGTGCATAATTAATTCTTTAAGAGTTGTCCCATAATGAAGAGCTGACTGAACTTTTTAAAGCTTGCTACTCATAGTGGCAGATATGAAGGCAGTGAAGCTGTTGTGCTATTGATTGATCTGTAAAATCAGTAAGTTTGACCAGCTTTCCATTTCCTAAGTTACTCGAGTGCCAGGAAGGCTTGGATAAGACTGGAACTATGAAATGTATTTGGCAGTATAATGCAAACCTACGGTACTGCACTGAGGAGCACCCTTAGATCCTCCTGAACTTTCTGGCTCTGCTATAGCCACTTGTGTTTTTTCTACCATATTCCTGAATGCTCAGGCATGAGGTTTTGCTGCCCTCAGAATGGGGAATGCTGGAGTGTTGCTGACGCTATGGGGAGACAGACTGGCATAACCCCATGAGTGGACTCCTTCACCTGGAGATTGCAGCCAGATCACCTTGCTGTGGATGATTGCTAGAAGCTATGTCACTGAATTTATTGGCAATGGATTGTAATGGGAAGAACTTAATTTTTCATGAGCAAAGATTTTGGGTTTTTTTGGTTTTGTGTTTTTTCCTGCCAGAAGACTCTTGGAAAGAAAAGGGGTGGAATACAAAGCAAAAATGAGTTGCAAGCCTGGAGCTGGACTATCAGGACCATATTTTTCTTCCATTTAATGGAATGGGGAGAGTGAGGGAGTTGACAATTCAGTTCTTGGGATCAGGATCCAACAGAGTTCATATGTAGCTCCTGAAATAATAAAATGTATTGTGTTTAAACAATTGCATTCATATATTAATTTAATTTATCCATTGTTTAGTGTGTGATTGTTCTTACTCTGTCTGATGACAGTGTTACTATCTGCCAGGTGTTCTTTTACAAAGGAGAACTACACATCATTCCACTGTCAGAGAGTCAAGAGAAGGAATGCGACCCATCTGCTGCCAATCTGACAATCTCGCAGGCGTTAACACTGTTATCCAACAATTCGGAGGAGTTCCTGGCTGCAGAACCCATTAGAACAGCAGTGTATAAACGCATCAGTGGGTATGTGGGTGTTTTATTTTGGTCTTCTGCAACAGTAAGTTTTGATTCTGGGCTGTCTGGCATCCTTTCTTGTATTAAATATTTTTCTGTTAGATTCAACAGAAGCCACCAGCTGGAGTTTTTTTGGTGGCATTCTTCTAAAGAGGGGGACCACTGTCCTGTAGACTATGCTGTGATCTGGGGGCTTTGAAAGTGGTTCACTGCTATGACGCCACATCTGACAATTACAAGAGTTATTTCTTCCTTCACATCCTTCTTGTACTGAATAATCTGAAAAGTTCTGTGAGCCTTTAGGAGCCTTTGCGGGAGGGAGGCAGATTGCAAACTAAAATGTGGAACTAGAACACTTTTCAGAGTGTCAGCTTGCCACAGTTGTGTTCAGCATTGTATGTTATCTTTTTGCAAGGATTTGTCAGTGTGAGCCAGGTGACTTCTGCACTTGGTGCAGTGAAAGCTACTGTATAGATGGACATGTAGTCAAGTTCACAGTGATTCATTTCACTGCTGTGGGAATTAAATTTAATTAGATAATTTATATTTGAATATATGTATATATACAAGCAGATATTCCAGGTGTTAGGTTAGCTGAGCTTTAAATTTAGTTTAGAATGATGTTCTGGCACTTGGCCCATAATACAGATTAATATTAAAGCAAAAAAAGGGAATAATAATTAATAAAGTAGTGGTTTGGGCTTGCAATGCACTTACTACACTGTGGTGTTATTGTATGATACAGGTATCCTGAGAAAATTCAGGCCTCATTTCACCAAGCCCACTGCTACCTTCCAGCAGGCATTGTGGCAGTGCTGAGGCAGCGCCCTTCCTTGGTGGCTGCAGCAGTCCAGGCCTTTTACCTGCGAGATCCTGTGGATTTACGAGCATGTCGCTCCTTTAAGACTTTCCGTCCAGAGGAGCGTGTGATGACCATAGTAAGTGATTCTTCTAATGCAACTTGTCATTTAATTAGGTTCTGTAGCTGACAGAAGTTCTGTGGTCAAGTGATATAAA